GCCCCGCCCTCCCCCAGCCGATTCGCCGCCGCCCACACCCGCTCCCAGCCCGGGTCGTGTCCTCCCCGTCCTCCGAGCACCCCTCCGCCGCTCTTGTCGTAGAAGGAGAGTCCAATCGTGGCCCATACATGCCGGGCGAACGCCTTGTTGACGTCGTGGATCCGGCGAGCATCCGCCGAAGCCATGGCCTGCGAATAGGTTTGGCCGCTCCCGCGGGCAGCAATGCGTGGAGAGGAGAGGAGGGTCGTGTCAATATCAGTGCCTCTGCTGCTACTTTCTTGATAAATGCTTGAAGTGGCCGTGCCTGTGGCTCCGGCGGAGGCAGGAAGAGAAAGAGCTAGCGCTGAGGACGGGAGGATGCTGCAGACGAGGCTACAAAGTGGCAGTGTCAGCCGATTTACAGTTTGGAAAACCAGTGGAATTAGAAGAGGGGAATGGGATCTGCTTGTCTGGACAGGGCCTTGCTCGGACTCGGAAGCAAGTCTGCGTGTTGGCGGAGGCGCGGGAGAAAACCCTCTCAGGGTGGTCAAACGGCGGGGGAATGTGGGAGCCCTCGCCCTGTCGAAACGTGTGAATGCCGCCGCCGTGCCCACCCAGAGGATCCAGACCAGCAGGCTACGGAGCCATGGACGTGGTAAAAGCATGGTCATGGCGCAATGCGGAGAGCGTAATTGATTTGTGCTCTTCATCCCAGCGATATGCCTTTAATAGGCCATGCCTGCCTCGCTTAATTTGTGTTGCGCCTGTGCAACTCTCCTCCAGAGTCGACGTGAGACCTAGCTCGCAGACGCCCTCAAGCGCAGCAGTCTTTTCTCGCTTGTTCGCACCAAGTCGCGTCTGTCACGTTGAAAATAGGCCAATGACGCCGGGCGTGAGGGTGGGAAAGGGGTTACGTATGTTTGTTGACTTGAGTTTTCCTCTCGGAGGGGCAGCTGCTCGCTTTCACGTCCGGCGACGCGCAGGGGCACAACTTCTAGAAGAAAACCAGCGATTTAAGTCCCATCTTGGACTCCACGGGGGCATGTGGTCCTGCGTGTGTTTTTGGGCCTTAAATAAGGTCGTAGAGTTCCCCATGTGGGCTGTCGTGACCGCATTAGGTCTTGAAGACACAATGTCCGGTCTGCCCCTCCCGTCATCAGCCTCAGATAAAGTATCTGCTTCCGTGCGACGTGCCCGCCTGCCTCCTCTCTCATGCGTACATTCCCCACCTTTCAGACACATGGTGCGACGCGTTCCCGTCACAAGCCCGCCATTTTCAGCAGTGCCTTCTCAGCCGCCACCCAAGGGTAAGGCTCAAAGTCCAAGACCTTCTGCGCCAAGGAATGTGGGAGAGAGCCTCACGCTTGCGGAGCGTAAAGCGGCGAGGGCCATCGTAGCGGCGTATTCCGATTTCTGGACGCAGGTACGTCTGAACCAAGGCATCAGAGGGATTCTGGAAGTAATTTAGGAAGTCTTTGGTATTCTGCTGCCATGCTAGGGTCGAAATTAATCTTTGTCTGCGGGACACATACTGTCTACTCTATTCGCTCGTAGAAGGAAGTTGCATACCAGCGGCTCCTACGTCTGACCTTGCAACAAAATACGCTAGCACGCATTGATACTTTCTTATGCCCCCTGGTCCACATCGCACCCTTTTCCCATTAAATAGCTTCGATTTCGCAAGGGGTGGGCGGAACCGCCCTTCAAAAAACAAGACGTGTTGTGCCTGCTCGACGAGGCGGCCGGAATCGTGGCCAAAACCAGGGCCGAGCTCGACAAGGAGGTAGGGGGCTTGGGCGAGGGTGGGTCAGGATGAAGGGAAGGAATGCAGGGGGGAGCGGGGGGGGAGATGCAGGTGCGAGGCGTCAGGGCGTCGGTGCGTGTGGAGCACAGCGATCCGGTGGTCCAGCTCCTTGTTTGATGCCGATCCACCGTGCCCGTGGTGAGTCAGGCTCATTTCTTTGGTCAACTTCCCTCTTTATCTCATGCGTGCATCTTTTCATGGCAGGAGGAGGGCTTTAAAATGCGCATGGTGGACGGCAGCGCCCGGGAGTTCTTTCACTCGGTACCTTACGCCCCACAAGACTATCCTGGTAGATGGGGGAGGGGGGGTGGGAAGGCGAGGGCAAGGAGGGCGGGACGCAGGGAGGGAGGAAGGGGGGTGGAGGAAAGGATGCACCCAAGGGGAAGTGTTCGTCTCCGCGGGCCTCGTGCGCGCCCTCTTCCTCCGTCGCTCTGTCTTGTTCTCTCCTCAAACGCGTGAATTGAGCCCATCGGGGGGAATGCGTCCTGCGCCTCCTCTGCCGCTCCAATATGTTCCCTTTCTGTGCCCATTGCCTCCTGCTTGTGGCGGTTGCCACCGTTCGCTTGCCATACTGCTCCCCTTACCCCCTCGCCCTCTCCCTCCCCCTCGACCCTCCGCCCTCAGACCGCTTCGTCACGGACCTCGTCCACGCCACCCTCCAAGATGGCCGGGGCTATGTGGAGGGTCTGACCAAGGTAGTCTACTCACTCTCTC